TGCATCATTGGGGTGGGGGGGCTGTGGGCCCCTGGACCCCCCCTCAGCTCCATGGCTGGCTGGAGCTGCAGGCAGGGAGGGAACCATCCCCACAGCCCTGCTGCAGAAAGGAAAGGGCTCATCCTGCTGCCAGGACACCCTGGGGCATCAGCCAGCACCTGGGGCAGGGCTGGGGCTCTGCTTGGCTCCGTGTCCTGGCTGCCAGAGGCGCGTGGGCAGCCCTGGAGCCTGCCCTGACGGGCCGTGGGCACTTGTGGCCACCTTGGGACCTTTCTCCAGGAGCCATCCCAAGGGACCGCAGAGGCTCAGCTCCTGCCCTGGGGTCCAGGTGCCATGTGCCAGCGTGCCAGGCACCCCACAGCCAGGGCCAGCCTCAGCGTCACCCCTGCGGCCACCGAAGGCCAGGGCTGCCCGGGTGTTAATCATTGCCGAGAGCAGTCAGGCCAGCGCGGGTGCAAAAAGCTGTGCTGTTCCCAGGGCTCTTTTCCTTTTATCGGCCGCATCCCCCAAGCACTGAAACACTGAGAGCGAATTATCTGGCAGGGCAGGGTGCGGTGGTGGCCCGTGGGATGGGAATATGGGTGGGCTCCGGAGCACTGAGTGAGGCCAGCAGGATGCTAGCAGGGGGGTGGGCTCGCTCCTGCCAAGCTTTGGGCTTTCTCAAGTGGATTTCTTGGTGTCTGTGATCATAACGTCCGAGTGATGGAGGATCTGGGGGTGGGCGCTTTGCCACAGAGCGGCACCGGCTCTCGCTTTGTCCATGAACCCACCAGCAGCGCCCAGCAAGGAGGGTGGCTCGGAGAACCCCAGCTCCACGGCTCCCTGCAGCCAGGGTGAAGGAGAGGAGAGAGGACTGGAATTCCCCTCCGCGGGAAGCGCAGGAGTGCCATTACTTCACGTTCACTTTGGCCAAAGGAGCTGCCAAAGGGCAGGCTGGCATCGCCGATGAGGAATGGTGACCTGGGGACAGGGCGAGGCGTCTCCACCATGGCACTGCCTGGCAGAGTGGGCATCGCTGTTTGGGCATCGCTGTTTTCCAGCCCTGGGCAGGGCGTCGCGGCGCTGCCCCAATGCCACGGGTTGGAGTGTGATAGGAGCAGCCACATCAGCTGATGGAAACGCCTGCTATAAAGCGCCCACCGGCCCCGTGGCGGAGGCACGAGCGAGCCCACCATGGCCAACGCGCTGCCCCCCCGCCTGTTCCTGGCCCTCCTGCTCCTGGCCCTCGCCCTGGCTGACCCGCCC